CCCTCGGACCGTGTCCGAAGTGCCCGACCGGTCAGTCCGCCCCTGCCTGGGCGGTCAGGCAGCCCTCCAGAAGTGGATTGCAGCGGAGGTAAGTACCTCCGATCCCCTGGGGCTGCAAGCCGTTCCGGCGTTCTATGCCCCCGCAACGGCTTTAAAGCCGCGACGGCATAGAACGCCGTAACGGCATTAAGGGGTTAACTTAAGTGTTATATTGCCGCCTCTCACATCCAAGGTGACCTGTTCAATAATAACCCCAAAAAGGTTTTCAACTTTAAAGGGACACTATAGTCACCCAGACCACTTCAGCTCAATGAAGTGGTCTGGGTGCCAGGTCCCTCTAGGGTTAACCCTGCCTGCTGTAAACATATCAGTTTCAGAGAAACTGCTATGTTTACATTTGGGGTTAAGCCAGCCTCTAGTGGCTGTCTTCTGGACAGCCACTAGAGGCGCATCTGCGACGCTGGAGGCATATTATGCCTCCATCACGCAGAGCGTCCATAGGAAAGCATTGAAAAATGCTTTCCTATGGACACTTTGAATGCGCGCGCGGCACTGCCGCACATGCGCATTCTGCTCCGCTGACATCAGATGAGGAAGCTGACGTCGGCGAGGGAGGAGAGGTAAGGAAGCCTGGTGGTGGAAGAAGGTGAGTAACTGAAGGGCTTTTAACCCCTACAGCACCACAGGAGAGGGACCCTGAGGGTGGGGGCACCCTCAGGGTACTATAGTGTCAGTTTTTCCCTGACACTATAGTAATCCTTTAACCCCTTAAGGACCAAACTTCTGGAATAAAAGGGAATCATGACATGTCACACATGTCATGTGTCCTTAAGGGGTTAAAGGAGGGACATTTATTACAATGCATAGGGATGGAATTGGTCTGGATCTCCTTTTTTATGTTGTTAAGATGTTCCAGGAAGCAAATTTTGGCCTTTCTCCCCATCCTTCCCACATATTGTGCACCGCATCCCCTTTATCTGAGTTTTTAATGACTATATCGTCTCTCTCTTTTAATTGATTTAGAACTTGCATTTCTTTCTTGGGCAAGTTATTTCAATATTCTCTTTTTTGGGTTAGTTGGTCTAGATCTTTCAATACCATTTTATTAAAAACTTTAATCTGGCTACCCTTGTCATAAGAACAAAAAGTGGATCGTGGCTTAAATTGTTTAAAGGACCACTATAGTGCCAGGAAAACATACTTGTTTTCCTGGCACTATAGTGCCCTGAGGGTGCCCCCACCCTCAGAGTCCCACACCCGCCGGGCTGAAGGTGGAGGAAGGGGGTTAAACACTCACCTTTCTCCAGCGCCGGGCTCCCTCGGTGCTGGAGAATCTCCTCCCTCTTCTTCCGTCATTGGCTGAATGGTCATGCACGGCAAGAGCCGCGCGCGCATTCAGCCAGTCTCATAGGAAAGCATTCTCAATGCTTTCCTATGGACGCTGGCATCTTCTCACTGTGAAAATCAATGAGACAGCCACTAGAGGCTGGATTAACCCTAAAGTAAACATAGCAGTTTCTATGAAACTGCTATGTTTACAGCAGAAATGGTTAATCCTAGGTGGACCTGGCACCCAGACCACTTCATTAAGCTGAAGTGGTCTGGGTGCCTATAGTGGTCCTTTAAAGGGATTTTGTTCATATTTTGACATTTCTGTATCTTTGGGATTTCCCAACTTTGTTTTTAATGAAGAATCTCTTAATGCTCATTTTTCTAATAAACTTTTGCATGTCTATATAGAATTGAAATGGGCTTGGAGGGACATTCGGAGTATATTTAAGTTCTTTCTTTAAAATGAGGTATTCTTTTTTTTATTTTTATTTTATTCTTTATTTTTGCCTCACTCCACTCGGGAGTATGCAACAGACGATATTCCTGGAACAAAGTTATAACATACAACAAGCATGACATTTAGACAATGTGTATCAGTACGGAGTGGGGGGAGGATTTTTATATATGTATGGGCATGCTGGTCTAACAGGTAGCCTCCACTGTAGTGTAGAACCTTACTAAAGGTACAGATTAGCACCCTCTTATAACATTTCTATGGCACATGTGTATCGTGCTATAAAGAGTGGGGAGGGTGGGTTGGGGGACTTCTCAGATAACGTGCACCCTCTGTGTAGGTTTGTCAGGATAGCGTCTAGGTCGGGGTGTTTCAACTCCCCGTTGAGGTAACAGCTACATTACAGAGGGGAGAAGGGTAGTTAGGTATAAGTGGGAGCGCAGCAGCGGGTAATAATAACCATCAAAAATAACGTAAGAGAGTTATAATACTGTTAGTACGCAGTTCTTCTGTATGATCTGGTTTTCCTTCTGGCTTGTTGGTCGCTGCAGATGAACTGTGTGTCTTGGGCCAGTCAAGTGGCTAGGAGTGCAGGCGGGCGTCCTGTGGTTGACCGTGGCGCGAAGGTCGGGATCTTAGACGGGTCCAGGTTTCGGAGGCGGGAGGTTGAGTCTTGTTCCGGTAGTAGCTTCAGGCTGCGCATGTTGGCCTCTAGTTCCAGAGGGTTCTTGGCTCTGTAAGTGCCTCCCTGGTGAGTGAGTATGAGTTGTCTGGGGTTTCCCCAGCGGTAAGGCACGTCCTGGGCTCTCAGGATTTGGAGTAGTGGTTTCATTGACCTGCGCCAGAGTAATGTCTTCTTGGTGAGGTCAGGGAATAGGAGCAGAGATGAGCCTTCAAATTCGATTGGGGTTTTCCCTCTCACTGCAGATAAGATTAGAGCTTTGTCGTGCATTGTTTGGAAGCGGAGAATAAGATCCGCCGTGGCCGTGGCAGGGGCATTTTTTGGCATTGGTAGCCTGAACATGCCATCCAGTTTTAGTGCCTTTGTTTGTTTGCCGGTAGCAGGGTTGAGATGAGACGCCTTATGTAGTGCGGCGTTTCCTCTGTACTCACTGTGTCAGGGATGCCCCTCAGTTTAAGGTTGTACCGTCGCCTCTGTTCTTCCAGGGTGTCAACTCTGGCCTCCATGCCTTTCTGGGCTAGTTGTATTTCTTCCAGCCTCTGCTCTACTTTAATTAGTCTGGAATCCTGGTTGCTATACGTGGCCTCTAGGGCTGTAAGTCGGGTAAGTGCACCAGCTACTGTCTCTTTAAATTGTGAGATGTCGGCTGCTATATTGGAGCGCAGCTCCTCCAGCATTGATTTCAGCATATTTTTAGTGATCGGTTCTGGGCCAGCAGGTGGTGTAGTTTGTACCTTTGGTACAGCTCCCAGCATGGCTCCTCCGTCCGTATCCGCGTGGAAGTCCTCAGAGGAGTAAGAAGATGTTTCATCTTCCATATGCGGCGCCATATTGGGCCATGCGGTCTGCTGAGCGCGCCGCAGGAGATCGCCGATATCTCGGCTGCTGGGCGCCCGGTCCGCCTTAGTTTTCTTTGATTTTCGGCCCATGTTCCTGCGACCAGCTGCAGGGTAGGTGACTGCCCTTTTGCTCCGGTTTTCGGGCGTTATATTGGCCGTTTGGCCCACTTAGTGTCGGAGCTCGCGGGAGATGCGGCTGGCCGGGTCCGCTGCTAGCTCCGCCCCCATTCTAAAATGAGGTATTCTTGTTCCAATTGAGATACTTAAGAGATATTAAACATTCCCATAGATTCTTCTTTTTTACGTAGCTCTAGATCTAATCCCCCATGCCTACACTCATTCTTGTTCTCTTTGTAGGGGTGTCTCGATCTCTGAGTGGGGCAAAGCGGTTGGTCAAGTTGGTCCTGGGAGGTTTCGGGGAGAAATATTGAGTGATCTCTTTCTTTTTTGTTTTTGGGTCTAGCCCCCTCTCTAAAAAAAAATCCCTGTTCTGGGAATTGTCATCACATGATGGTAAGTTAACAGTATCAGATCTAGTTTCTACATTAGAAGTGTTATGAGAGGTAAACCTCCCTCTCTGTGGGTAATTATGTGTGGGGGCATACCTCCCTCCTATGCTAAGTTGCAGTGAGTTTCTAATGAGATTCAAACTTCGCAGAAATCCATGTGCTAAATATCTGTTATTTTAAAATAAAACATTCCTGCAAACTCCAGATTTGACATACTATTGTCCCCTTTTTCAGTCTGTCTCTATATGTTTATTTGTTATGTTTCGGTCAACAATTGTAATTCGGGTAAATGTTATTAGAATAAAATGCATTTTAGAAATCACCTTTTATTGAGTGTGCTGGTTGTCTTTGACAATGTGCTTTTCTGTGTGTGTGCCATGGAACTATCACTATTTCATACACACAGGAGACACGCAGTATATGCACATTCTAGTCTTGTGTTTGGATATGGGTTGCTTACATACAGGGCTTTCTGTCCGTTTTCCAGTCCTTTTCATCCGCGGGCTGCGGGTGCGCCGCTCAAGGTTTCAGGTGGCAAGCCGTCTGGCTGCATTTTCTGAATCCTCAAGCTCCAATGTGAGCATACCAGCATCGGAGGTACTTGCGGTCGGACACGAGTACCAGGCAGCCGGATCCACTTGCGCACATGGCCGCCTCGCCACGACTGGCTCCTTCTCAGAGCCGCGGGCATCCGACCAGCTGGAGGAGGGTGCGCCTACTCGCGGCCCCTCCTCCACCCACGGTGGTCGGTTCTCGTCAAGGATGCCCTGCGGGGATTCACCGGCTGATTTTACAGGTTTCCCATAGTTTAGCTACAGATATGACAGTTTATATCCCAGGAATTTGTGATTTTTTAAGGACAGTGTATATATATCACAACTTGCGGTGAGTTTTTCATGGCAGTTTATATCACAGATTTATGTCAATTTTTACTGACAGTGTATATCTCAGATTAATGGGAGTTACATGTATATATGAACTCAGTTATACAGGCTCTGTACAGGGTGTATGAAGAGTCAATGTGCTAGTTAGCTTGAAGATTCATGTTGCTTCACAGTAGATATATGCTGGCCCAGCTATGGATTCTCAGATGAGACTACTCTGGTATGAATTCACTGTCCATGGTATATGTTAAAAGCTAAGCAGACCTGGCTCTGGCTCAAACTGGTATGGGAGACTATTCTATCAGGAGATTCATTGGGTGGGCTATTGTTTAGCCCTACTCCTGAAAGAGACCATGGGTACAAGACTCTTCAGGTGACATGATGTTGATTGATCCATAATAAAGATAAGAAATCTCAAACAGATGTGCATGTGCGTACCCATTCACAGTTTAAGAAAGGTATCGCTCAGTATATCTTGATTTTATGGACACTGGAACAACTTCAACTTATACCCAATACAGCTGAAATACCACTTTTTGCCTGTTGGGCATTTAGGGACTGCCAGTCCCGGTTAGGGTTTATTCACACAGTATTACGCTATCTTAAAGGGTTGGTGTCTAGGGGTCCTATGTCAGGATACACTGAGGATTTACAGATATTTAGGGGACTCTGCCCAAGCACAAGGGTCCCCACTACTCATTTTATATGCAACCCAGGATTGGCCTGCTCTGTCTGTGCCCCCTTGATTGGCCTGCTCTGTCTGTGCTCCCTTGATTGGCCTGCTATGAGTGTGCCCCATTGATTGGCCTGCTATGTCTGTGCCCTTCTGTCTGGCCTGATCTACCTGTGTCCATCAGTGGCCTGATCTATTTGTGCCCGAACCCCCTTTTGGCCGCAGGCCTAGGGAAATATCACTAAGGAAAGCTCAGTATCCACTATTAAAATGGAGATAGGTGGGTGTCCAGGCAAGCACTGCTGCCATACTATCCAAGAGGACACCAGGATATGGGCACCTAAATCTGATTGGAAGGGCAAAGGCCCTACACCTCATGCCCTGACTTCTAATGTTTGCTTATTATCATGGGTACGGCCCGCTCATGCTATCAGCCGGATGCTGACACAGAGTCCAGCCACATTATTAGAGAGTGTGGCTCTCTCATACTCTCAACGCACTACGGTGCCATCCATTTGTTCATCACACAGGCTTGTACCTGTACAGGACAACGATGACTGCATAGAAGGGCGTCCCTCCGGCATTCAATTAGATCTAACGACTGTGCTACCGATTTCGTTATAGAGGGCTGCATGATCGTGCAGGGTACACATAGCTAGACTGGATCCCTCTATTACACATCCTATAATGGAGCTACTGGATCCAGACCACTGTATACCATGCGAGAAATACTCTCAGAGGTACTACTGGGGGAGATTCACCGCTTATTTACACTCACTCCTGGAGACGGTACGGCTAACGGATGAGACTCAGTTATTACAAGAGTGCAGGTTTTGGTATAATCTGCACTATAACAAACAGACAATTGCACTCTGTGTAAGATATTCAGACCATGGCAAAGAAGCTGCGCAGACAGTTCTTTCCATGTCAAGGTGACAGGAGACCCTGAGGCCTTCATAGAGCAAACGGGCACTGCCTTGCTCGGGTAACAAGACTAGGGAAAGCCTGCAACCCGGTCTGCAGGTACACCATGCGCTTGGATCGCATGGAAAGACTGGAATCCTCAATTGACTTGGGTTCCCTGGTCATTACAATCTTGGGATAAGATGACAGGACTGACCCTACTCTTCTGAGCACATATCTGGAGAACATGGTTCCGATATGGAGGGCCCTCCTTCTATACTCTATATCCCTCACGGGAACCGTCTTGGTTCGGGTTCTCGCTAACCCACCTATTAAACTACCATCAAGGAAACCTACGGTGGACTCTATGGAGGAACCCTGTGTGTCCCGGCTCCTACACGGACGTCACATGTCAGGACGCAACCTACCGTTGGAGTACTGTTCAGGATTTGTAGCAGGCTCAGATAGGGCTGTCGACGTTCTCAAATGAGACAACACCTGCTTAGGACGGTTGAAACTTCATCCTTGTTTTTTCGTTTTATCTACTCTCTGGAGTCACCTGTCATGAGTGAAGGGACTTTACGTCTTGCCTGCATATTAGAGAATGCTAGGTGTTTGTGGGACTCCAAGCTAAGAAGGGTGGTATCCCTCTTTAGGGAGGCCTTGATTTCGGTTCTCGAATTCTCATTCCTGGGTCCTTTGACCTAGGGCCTACTCTGGGAGATATGTGCCCAGACAGTCAGGGGTACAGGGATCTAGGACTTCCACTATATTATACCCTATCTTGTAGGTGGCATGTAGACCAGGAACCCTACACGAATTTTGATAGGTCAGGCAGGGAACATGATCGTACAAACGGGTAATCGGATTATTTCACTCTCTCACTACAACACGTGAGGACTCTTCTTTGTTATACAGGTCCCAATCACCATTGGATCCGGACATCTTATCACTCTTAGACAATGATATATCTGGATGGAAGTCTCAACCCCGGTTTACGTTCCCATCCTTTTGAATATTTCTGTGATTCACAATCCCCAGAATAATCGACTACAGTTTCACCACACAAGTTCAGTATGGGACCTTGATTGGACGTCCTTTGGGAGTCCTTGCTATACCGCAGCCACGGATTACACAGTCCATTTGGAATACTGGAATTACTTAGGATATGGCTAGTTTTGACTTCACTCTTGCCTGCATAATAAATTTATTCTCAGATGAGACAACTCACCGGGTAGGTCATGAGGGAATGAAAAGACCCTACTCGGTTCTATTACGGAATTGGTGGTGGACTTAGGCGCATTCCTTGAGGTTGGAGTTTGGCTGCAAGGCCACATCGCCTGGTAACCCTGGTACGATCGGAGGAGTTACCTTCCACATCAAGAGT